GAGTTTGGGCTCGTTCGATCATGGAGCCTTTAACAGGATGTAGAGTCTAGGGCTTGCAACATTATTTGTATCCGGAACCCTGCACCCTAACCCACTTAAACCCTGCAAACTCAAACCCCAAAAACCCTAACCCTACAAACCCTAACCTTTCCTGCAGTGAACCTCTGGTGGTTTCATTCGGTCGGGTCTGAGATCTTCTCGCTAGCTCCTGGGTCCTGATCACGGGAGGTCAAGTTCTTGTTTCGTTGTATAGATAGGGTTTAGGGCTCCGGGCTTCACGTAAAACCAGATACAGGCTTTAGATCTTTGGAGCCCAAACCCTTCAGAAAAGCCCGACCAGAAAACTAGACCGGGTAGAACCTCAAGCCTGAAACCTTGTGATACCTTCCGGCAGTTTTCGGAGGATCTAACGTCGGAGCCCGAGACAGTCGCGGAATAAAGCTATAGGAGCAAACTGTCTAGGCCCCCATATTCCTGGCTCAGGATTTGCCTTGTACAGTCTGTGGTCGAAAACGTAATGACGTAACGTAGACGCCTAAGTAGCAAAGCCCTCTGCCTAAGCAACGAATACAGTTTGGATCCTACTACGAAGGTCTTTATGGAAAGGCGGCGGTATTGATCCGGGGTCTGAACCTCTCGACAGCTGACTTTCCGATCGTTGACCTGCATCCAGATCCGGTTTGTCTGGCTCTTAACCCCAAAAGCCTCAACAAAAAACGCCACCGAAAACAACACTAAGCCATGAAACCCTGAACCGTAAAACCCTTACACCCTAAATCCCGAAGACGTAAGCCAATCCCAGGAAGATGGATCTGCAAAAGCTGGCAAGCAGTACCACACGGCCTCTGGTCAGGTCGAGCTTTCCATTTTGTGATCCCGTTGATTTGTGGTTTTTAGAGGGATTATAATCATCAAGGTTCTACGAAGTGTTATACAGGTTTCAAATCGGTGGTGGTGGTGGTGGTGGTGGTGGTGGTGGTGGTGGTGGTGGTGGTGGTGGCGGCAGCAACCGCAGTAGCAGCTGTCAGGGTACGATGACAATCGGTCATTGCTCCTTGGTCCTCGTCCGGTGGTTGTCTTCTTATGACCCGCATTAATCTGTCGCAAAGCACACGACCTTGCGGCAACGCACTGAAAAGTAAGCCAGGTCCTTTCTGCAAGACCCAACCCTAAACCCTAAGCCCTAAGCCCATACAATTCGGGGTTTGGGCTTTGAGGTCCAAGGTTCCCAGAGATCTGCTCCTCATCCCTGAACTGTGACACCTGAACTCGATAGTTCTGCAGGTCGAGTTCAAGGACCGCGAGCATCCCGGCTTTCTTTATCTTTCCAACCAGACATGCCGAACCTGTCGAGTTTGGGTACCATTTCCGTGTGAAATCTTGCCTTTCGAAACCTGGGGGGGTTGGGGGAGCAGGGCAGGTGGTTTGGAAGCGACGCCTGCAGGTGCTGCTATTTGGGCTTCGGGTTTCCCCCCATGGGATGACCCAGTTGAAGGCTCGACTGTCCCGATGCCTGGTTTGGTAACCGAAACAAAGTATAAGGCAAACGAAGGCATAGGTAAACAACGGAGAGATGCCACATGCCCGAGTTCATTCCGTAAAGGCCAGGGCGGGCATGTCCCCAAGTCCTGGCACGTCTTTAGTAGAGGTAGCATATGCAGATGCAGGCAGCACGAGGTCACCCGAAGGAACAGATACATGCTGGAATTCCGCAAGATTTGCTGCACCGGAGAGTTCCTTTGCCTCACGTTCAAGTCCAAAAGCAAGCGGAAAGTCTTCGTTCCCCTGGATGTAAGAGTCGACGTGGCTGCTGACAAGATTCTCTCCGATTCCAGATGCAGGACCTAGACGGACCTTGCCACAACACCTGCACTCGTACAAGCACCAAGACTGAGATGAGAACGACACTGAATCCAGATACTAAAGCCCGCACATCAATATTGACAATATTGCCGGAGGCGGTTATGATCATTGGTTACTGGTGGCAATCGCAGTGCTTTGCAACTCCTGTCCGGCTCAGCTCAAGGCCCAATCAGCTAGCACTTCACTGAATATGCCGTAATCGAAACTAGAAGAAGACGTGCGCGCCGCTACAACGTAGCATTTTCGCTCCGACGGGAACGGCGGTCGTCATCATCGTCATTATCGTCATCATCATCTCTAGCATTCGCAAGGCAGAAGCCAATCGAGTAAGTTCCGATGCCCCAAGCACACTTGGAGGTTCATGGGTAGTTATAAGTGGGGTTATAAGTAGGGTAACTATAGTTATAATCCATGTTAGGGGACTTATAACCATACTTATAACTACCCATGAACCTCCAAGCAGGTACCGCCAGTCTATACAGATCCAGACCGTTTCCAGTCCACTTTGGAGTCCAACGCAGCTTTGCCTGCAAGCTCCGAAAGGTGGAAGCAGTCTAGTTTAGGGTTTAGGGTTTAGGGTTTAGGGGTTTAGGGGTTTAGGGTTTAGGGTTTAGGGTTTAGGGGTTTAGGGGTTTAGGGGTTTAGGGTTTAGGGGGGTTTGCGGTGTAGGGTTCAGGGCTTGGGGCTTACTGATGGATGAAGACTCAGCAGCCCAAGCCCCCTACATGCAGAAGCAACCTCTGCATAGGCATTTCCTGGCCTAGAAATCCCTTAGTCTGAACTTTTGCCAATTTCGACTTTGCAAACATCCGTCCGACAGGAAAACCTAAGCATAATGGAGCTCAACCTCTTACACACTGAAACACGAACTGGGGGAATTGACGCGCTCCTTAAGGAGTTTTGCCTCGTAGGTTACCGGGTCACTGGATCTTGCCATGTACTGTACGGCCGTAACAAGGAGCACAGGTTTTTGCGGGAAACCATAGTGTCATAACATGCTTCTAGTAGAAGGGCATATGATTGGTAGTTATTCCGACCGATGCAGTAGTCCTTATCAGGGTTCTAAGGGGGCTTCCTGAGCCCTAGTCCTAAAGCCCAGGCACCTAACCGCAAAGGTTAAGGTTCAAGAGTTATTGGTTCTGAGGTTTCAAGACCCCAAATGAAGGCCAGTTTGGTCTGACGAAGCTTCAAATTTTCTGAGATCCATACATCTGATCTCAGTCAAGTGTCAACTCCTAAGCCGACAAGCCTGCGAACGCTGAAGTGGATTTCTGTGAACACCCTGAACTCCAACAGTTACACGAGATGACCTGCAGCGCATGCCCTACTGAAACCCCCGAAGGCCCTAACAAAATATATTTTAAACCCTACACCAGCGAGTCCCTAACAACATCCTGGTAGAGCACCGCGACAACCATCACGACGGCAGACGACGACGACAAGACCACTAGGACCACCACTACGACAACGACCACCAGGAGACCACCCGAAGAACACTGCCAGTGTTCCTCCATGTACTGGAGGTATTCAGGCTCACGGTCACAACAGTGCTTCCCCAAAGCACTGGCGGATTCAGCGCGGCCAAGTCCTTCCCTCAAGTACTGTTCCCATGCATTGGCTTACAACGGTTCTGGCTGGCTGCCAAAACGGAGCCCCACCGGCCATGTAAATTTTGGGACATGAGCGCAAACATGCACTGAGCCACTGCGGGAGAACCCAAACGTAAGAAGCTTTCAAAGTCCTTGTAGATCCTGAATGGGATCCTTATGGTAATCCTAATGGCAACCCTTGTAATGCAAACTGAAGAAAACCCCAAACCCTACTTGGACGTTCATGGATACGTATAAGTATGGTTATCAGTCCCCTAATATGGGTCATAATCATAGTTACCTTACTTATAACCCCACTTATAACTACCCATGAACCTCCAAGTAAGCCAGGCTCGAGTTCAAGATCCACCTGGTGAATCCAACCGGGTGCTCCGTAGGCCGGAAGTCTCGGTGGAGAGGGGAAGGTGCTTTGGGGTTCAGGCGATGAAGGATTTCAGGCTGGAGGGGGCTGGGCTGTAGGGCTTTTTGCCTTCGACCTGCCTTTGCTGATAATACAGAAGGCTACATGACAATTCAAGTTAAGTAGTGTTCCTCAAGGTTCCCTATTCCAGCTTTACGAAGATATACCACAAAGCACCGTTCGAGTTTTTCTGGCCCCCTCATTGTTGCGGTTGCTGATGCTGTTACACTCTAAACTCTGGTTTTACAAGGCCCCGAAGAAGTTCTAGTGCAGCAGTAGCAGTAGCAGCATTTGTAGCAATCGTAAAATCGTGATGAACGAATCAGACGAACAAGACTGACAATAAATGCAATGAAAATCAACATTTACAACCGGAATCTGCGGGGCAATGGCAGCTCGTCGAATGCTATTCATAATGTGACGGCAACAAGAAGATCTGCTCCAGTGCTTAGTAGTTAACGTTCAGCACCTTGCCAAGAAAAGCAGACACCAGCGACTGGCATGATACTTCTGGTCACAATGCTACCAGTAGCAGGAACGGCAGTCCTGGTCCGAATATCGCCGTGACATAGTCGTCGGGCAGCGGTCGTCGTTGTCATAGCAGCCGTCGTACATGACTGGACGTATAGTGAGGTCATTGACTAGTGAGAACAAGACGAAGGGCGTTCAGATGCGGTTGGCACTACAGGAACTACCAGAATGTCGAGAACAATCACCATGGCAAGTCGCATCCAGACAAGTACCGTGCAAAGTGCTAGTCATGACGGTGGTCTTCATTGCCATTGTGAGCGCTATAAAACTAGCAGCACCACTAGCAACAATTTTAACGAGAATAAGCATGGTCCTAGCTCGTTCCCGCAACCTGCCAAGTCAAGGAGTGTTTCAGTGTAGTAGCAGGGAGCAGAACAGAGGCATGATCATGTTGCAGTGCTTTGCCTGCTTTGCAAGCAGTCAACACGTATTGCCACACTCAAACTTCAGCCAACTAGTGAGTGCATTTACCATGACTGATACTGCGACGACATGTGCTGCTGGCTGCTGCTAGTCGTCATGGTTATCGGCATCAGTCGCAAAGCCCGTTGGCCTCTCCTTCTGGTCCGCAACCTGAGCCCAAGCCCTGATGAGGCATGCACTTGAGCTCCTGCCGAGTGAAAGTGATTGATGCAGACCCGTTCCCATCGAGCAAATACGGCGACCTGCTCCTGCAACGCGGCCCCGATTTGCTCGACCTGGGCATAAAATATCAAAAAAACAGAAGCCAGCTACAGCCTTCATTCTTGGGCTTAAGTAATGTAGACGCAAGATCACAGTCGAGATTGTGGGGATAAACAACATGCCCGTCAGAGACCATGAGCTACAACAAATATTGTCAAGAGCCCAGACGAACAGAGAAGCTTGAGTAATTAGCTGATTATTCGCTTGGATTGCTTGTTCTCTTTATACTAGAAAAACACCCCTTGGGGTATCTATTCGTGTATCCATTCAATCAATCATGTACTGGTTCACTTGCTCTTTTCCTATGCTCTTACGTCACAGTACAGGCATGACGATGTGTGGTCATCTCAAGCCTATTGCTCAATGCCGGAGCTTCAGATGTCATGCTCATAAAGCAGAAGCCAATGGCGAAAGAATCTAACTTTCTGTGGCACAGGCCTCAGGATCTTAGCCGGTGCCCCCAAAGAGCTTCTTTCCAGGAAATCTTGCCTGACAACGAGCCCAGGAGCTCTCCCACCATCATGGATTTCGGGTATTTGAAAACTTTCAGTGAGGTGGTGCTTTGGGGGTAGGGGGAGTGTCCTTGTCAGGGCATTAGCTATGTCACCATCTCCATGTCAGGGTCCCTTAAGTTCCGTACGTCTGCAGCCGGAGCTTTCTGCAGGCAAGGTGAGGAAGGCGTGAAGAAGATCCGAAGCTCGGCAGCAAGCACCGGACAATATCGGAGTTCGGACACAGACTTTCCTGAACTTGCGACTCCAAAGTGTGATGTTACTGTACGGATAGAAAGTAGCGAGTGACAATATTCCCCATAGTGTTTGTAGAGTGATAGAATGGTATACCCCACTTCTAGTCATTCAGGCCCCTGCATTTATTTTCCCTTTGGCGGCTTTGGTGTATTGGCACTTCTGGTCATATATACTGATCAGATAGTATCCTTGGTGACTGGAGATCGGGTTGAGCATCGCGGGGCGAGCGGCCCCAACCTCAAAGATACTGAAGCAGCAATCTACACCCTTCAACTCAGCATTCTCCGGCTCATGGCCGTCCCAACCCCAAGAAGATATGCCGCAAAAAGCAAAGGAAAGCTACTCTAGGTCTAGGCCCTAAAGCCTTGACGACTGCGCTACCAGAGGGTCCGCGGTGCGCACCACAGGATAGCTGCGCTCTCCAGACCTAAACCCTAAATCCTAAAC